TTATAGAGTAGCAACGAAAATAATTTTATGGTTGGGGGTCACCACAACATGAGGAACTGTATTAAGGGGTCCTGGCATTAGGAAGGTTGAGAACTGCTGGCCTAGAGGGTTCTAAGCATTAACGGAAGCCACTGTGAGGTGTAGGTTTTAGAATGTACCCCTTCCTCCAGCCTCTGGTGGTGGTGGTGGTGGTGGTGGTGGGCAGGGTCTCTACCCAGCCACTGGCCCTTTTTTCTGTCTCCCTCTCAATCTCCAACACAGCAGTTGGAGTCTCTGGTTCCCTCCCAGCTGGAGCACAATTTTCAGGTGAAGGCTAACTCACCTGCCTCTGGCAGAAGAAACAATCACTCCCACCTTTGCCTCACCTGAGGGAGGTGGCCCAACTGCCAAGGGTCAGGCCCCAGAGAGGCCATTAAACTCCAGGTCCCTGGGGAGGGCTGTTCACAGCCCCCCCCCAAGGCTAATGGGAGGCTCAGGCCTGAGGGTAAGGGAAGTTTGGGGGTGGAGAACCCCACATTTCCCCAGAGCCTTCTGGGGCAGGAATGCCTGCTTAGCATTTCTGAGCACTTGCTGGTGGCTGCCACTGCCCCAGGGAACCCACTGCAGAGCAGGAGACAGGCCCCACCCCAGATGCCTCCCTTCCTGATCAGAGCCAAACAAGGCCTGGTGTGTGTGCGCGCGTGGGCAGGGGCGCTCGCTGACCTCCAGAAGGCAGTACCTGTGCTGAATGGATAGGACTGCTTCCCAGAGGAGGCAGCCTTTTAGTTGAACTGCTTAGACCCCCACGAAGATTAGAATTTTGCAAAGGAGAGGACAGAATGGGTACTTCAACTTGAAGCAAAGAAACAACAGGTGCAGAGGCATGAAGACAGTAATGGGAGATGGTTTCATCAGATGGCGAGAGAAGGGATCAGCATGTGCAAGTGGCTGTAACCAGATTGAGAAGGGTGTCCAGTGCCAAGGTCAGACGCTTGGCGAAACAGGGACCCATCCCCAGGAAGGGGCCCATCCCCAGGAAGGGACCAGCTGGGGCCAGAGTGGAATCAAGGGATAGCTTTCCTCTCTCCCTCCCACTTGGGGGCCATGTGCTCCCCTCTGTGTTCACCTCCCAGGCATCAGAGCAGGAGATCAAAGCGAGCTTGAGTGTCTGGGTGCTCAGGGCTCCCCGTGGCCTCCAGTCCAGCCTCTGGCCTGGCATTCGGGGGCTGGGGCAGCGCAGGCTGCAGCCAGGACTCACTAAATCCAGGCAAAAGAACTGGGTGCCCCTGATTGGGGAACAGAGGACCGCTGGGACCTCAGAACAGGAAGGAAGGACTTGGAGATGTTTTGCTCCTCTCCGTCTTTGTACACGTGGGCAAACTGAGGACCAGAGAGGGGACCTGCCAGAGTCACGCAGCATCAGCACAGCCTGGTGATCCCACAGCCTGGACAGCCACCCCGGTGGTCCCTTCCTCTGGAAGAGGAGCGACCTCCCACCTGTAGCCCAGTGGGCTCCAAGCGCATCCCCCGCTCAGCTCCCTTGGGTGGTGGCCGCTCTCCCTCCGCGGAGAGCGCGGGGGCGCGGAGTCTGCCGGGCAGGCGGGCTGGCTCTGCGCCGTCAGAGCGGTGGGGTCGAGCTAGTTTCCTGCCGAGGCTCCGGCGCTCCTTACCTCTTCCTCCCAAGCAAAGAATGCGGAGAAAACATTTTTAAAAGTGTCTCTTTTAAAAAAGAAGTTTCTAAAAAGTCCTTTGGGGAGCCTTCTTCCACCTCACCCCAGCCATCCGCCACCGCTTCCCTGGGGACTGACTAGAGGGGAGGCTGTGAGGCAGGAAGAGAAAAGGCACTTGGGTCCACGGCTCACTCCGGAAGTCCTTTCCTGTCCTCCTCCAGACCCCGGGGCCTCTGCGGCCGCAGAGAGCGCCGGCTCGAGACGCGGCCCCCCGGATTGCGCGCGGAGGAAGAGCGGTAGGGTCCGAGTTTCAAATCAAGGCCGCTTGCTCCGTGAATCTCTCCATCAGAGGAGCCGCAGGACTAAATCGCGATAGGTTGCTTATACTATTATAATTCCCCCTTCTCACCACCCCACCCCCAAGGGGTAATTAAATTCATCCCCAAATCTCGAGCAAGGAAAAAGCCTCTAAAAGGCCCAGAGCCAGAGGGGCCCATCCAGGCTAAGGCTCCTGACGGAGGCCTTGGGCCGCCCACCCGTTTTCCAGCGCCCGACCTCCGCTGCCGAAGCGACTGGGTCAGAAGTCCAGGCTTAAAACGAAGTCGTTTATTTCAATTTTGTTTTCACATTATGTTCCGATACAATCAAAACTCCTGGACGAACTTCTGGATTAAAAGCCCTGCGATGAGCACAATCACAGGTCCTGGGCGCCCGGGTGGTATGGCGGGCGGGGCTGGGATTCAGAGCCGTGGACAAAAACGCTGCTTCGGGAACGGAAGAGCCAACGGCGGGAGAAGCCCTGGGGCAGAGGCGTGGGAAGCGCTCCGTTCGCCGCACGCTGGTTCCAGCTCCTCTGGTTGGATTATTCCTGATGCAAGTGGACTTCGAAAAACCCAAACTGCGCTTTCAGGCCGGCAGCCCTGCCTGGCCTCGAAAGATTTCGGCCAAATTTCCTACGTTTGCGCCAAAGCAGGGAGCACAGGCGAGGGCAGGGCTGGCCCTGGGCCTGGCGCGGGGAGGAGCGCCGGCCAGCTCTGCGCGGAAGCCCGCGTGGCGGCCTCGCTCGGGTCGCGTTCTAGCCAGTCGCGCACACTCTGAAACTCGCCCTTCCTCACCCCCGCCCCCAAACCTCGCAGCTGGGGAAGGTGCGGAGTTTAGAAAGCTGTTTCAGAAAAATAAAATTCCCACTTCGACTTTATTGGATTAAAGCAAAATTAAATCTTGGCTATTCACACGTATGTTACAGAGGACGAGGGATCGTCCGGAAGAACCTCCTGGTGGTTAGTGGAGCCACAGAACACGAGGGCATCGACAAGCATCAGAACATCAAGCAGCCTTAGATTTCACGATCACTCCGAATAGGACATAGAAATACGGAAATACAGCCAGTTTCCACTGGGAAGAGTTCTTCGTGTACAAATGATATATATTTATATATATATGTTTAAACCAGTCACCACTAAGGTGAGTCCTTTCTCTGCTAACAAGCAGCCGAGGACACAAAGTGTCTTCAGCTAATTAACTCTTGAGCAGTGTTTTAAGAACAGCAACACTTGCCAAATTAAAACTACCTCTCCCATCCAAAAAAAAAAAATCTTACCCCATCTCAACTAAAAAGGGGGAGGGGCATATTAGATTTCAGCAGGGGACCGGGGAGAAAGATATTTCACACTATACAGTGAAATACAAAGTTTCTTTTCTATAAATCGTAGGGAACATGAACGTGGGGTAAGAAACAACGGCAAGACAGTCTTTCTTCATTACTGCAACTGAAACGGGGGAGGCGAGTTTATTTTTGGAAATGGGCGTGCGCAGAGCTAAGTGAAATTTACTTAATGAGTAAACGGACAAATCGTCCGACCGCCTGCGCACGCCTTTCACCGGATACAGCTGGGGAACATGTGGGAAGTTTCAAGTCGTGCCGCTTTCTCCTCCTCTACATTTCAGCCTTCCTCATTCCCCCTCCTGCCTTCGCCCTCTCCCTGCCTCCATTCGGCGCTGAGCCAGTCAGAGGGGAAACACGAGAAATCCAGAGAAGGTCGAGTACTTCCAGCCCCCCATCAAGTTCCCCCGCTCCAGCTTGAGGTATGCACGGTCGCCTTTCTCCATCTGGATTAGGACTCCGTTGCTGGCGGCCTCTCGGGTCACGTCCTGGTCACCAGCGAACGCTGAAATCACCGGCCACCCGTTTAACATGAGGCTCACCTGAGAGATAAAAAGGCCCGCTTCAGAGTCGCAGCCTAGGCAGGCGTGGAGACGCGACCCTTCGCTGCCTGGCTAAAGGCCATAAAGGCCCGGAAGCGTGGGGGGCGGGGAGGAGGAAAGGGGCTTTGCAGGTTACTGCTGAGGGTCCAATGGGGACGAGAGGAAGGGTCTGCCCCTTAAAGGGGAGTCACTTTCATTCCTTAAGCGCCCAGCGAGTCCCGATGGCGGTTTTATCCGGTTTAATAAATCCGTAGGTGGCTCAAGCACCCCGAGACCTTAGGCCTCTCCCCCACCTCCCCTAATGCTCAAATTGAAACTCAAGCCACTCCACTCTTGGTGCTTTTGGGAAAACAAACGAACAAGAACCCTGGTTCCTCCTGGTCCTAGCTCCAGGCAGCAGCAGCTCCAGGAGAAGCCGCGCAAGGCTTTCCGCTGATGAGAAATCTCGCGCAGAGCTGCCCTCTGTACTTCATCCCCAAACCTGGGCTCAATTCCCGCCCAGCTCCAGCCGCTCCAGCCACTGCCTGGTTTCGCCCTTGCGGTGGCTTGGCAGCCGAAGGCCGGGCGCCCCCTCCCCAGCCGCGAGTTCCGCCTCTGTCTCAGCCCAGAGGAAGCCTAGACACCTTTGGAAACCTGGGGAGCCGCCGAGTGCGGGCTGGGACAAGGCTGGAGCCGGGAGGGAGTGGCACTACGCCCCCTCCCTCCTTTCTCCACCCTTCACCCGCCTGGGCTCGGCGCTGCTAGTTCAAAAACCCAGACTCGGTCTGCAAAGCCAAGGGAGGCCGGGGGCCACCTGAGCGCGGGGGCTGAAGGCGAGCGCGCAGGCGTCTCGCGGGCTCGGGAGCAGGTACAGGGGGTCAGGGGTACTGTCCGTGGTGCTGAAGGCGGGGATCGTGGAAATATTCCGACGCGGGAAGTGTCTGTGATGCTAACAGCAACCCCTACGGGAGATCCCTGGAGTCCGACAGGAAAGCGGGAGAACCTCTCTGGAGGGGCCCGGAAGGCGGACAAGGGAAGCTCTGCCTTTGGGGAGGGGGCTAGGTCCCAAGCGCTGGCGACAGCGGAAGCAAGGGGCAGCCCAAGCCGCGGAACCGTGAGGCCCTGCCACTCGTCCTTCCAAGCATCCCGGGCACACGCAGCGGCCCCTGCTAGCTCCCAGCCCCATACGGCCGCTCGCTCCCGCGGCTCGGAGCCCCCTACCGGGCCGGCGCCGGGCCCCGAAGCGGCGGCTGACCTGGATGGTCTGTCTGTTGTAGACTTTTACCACGTGGAAGTTAAAACTGTAGATCCCTTTGCGCGGGGCGATGAAAGTGCTGCGTTCTGAGTCAAAGTTGTTCCCGATGTTCACTAGTACCTACAACAAGACGGGAGCGAAGGGGAGCAGGCACAAGTCAGCCCCGAGCCCTTGCCCCGCGCCCCCGCAGAGACCCTGAGACGACCCGGCATCTACCCGGCGCCTCTCCCCCACCCCCGCCCGGTCCCGCCTGCACAGAGCGCTCACCTGGTCGAAGTAGATGATCATAGTGCGATTACTCATCTCGGACGGCTCGTGGTTCGTGCTTCTGATGGCGGAGAAAGCCACCTTGGCGCTGCCGGAGCGCACGGAGATGCCCAGAGCGGTGCCCGTGGGATCCGACGTGGGGTTGGAGTCGCACACCACCAGGCACTTGCCCTCCAGCACGATGGGCTCCGTCTCATTCTGCCCGCGGGCCGGGCCCGCCAGCCACGCCGCCCCAAGCAGCAGCAGCTCCACGACGCCCAGCATCGCGGCGCCGGNTGAAGGCATTGTCCCCATTTGAAATATGAGCAAACTGAGGCTCTGAGAAGAGTGTGTGTATGTTCAATGAGGAACCCTGTGCAAAGATACCAGGAGACCTGGGGAATCGCCCCTGGGGAATCTTTGCTTCCCCATGAATTGGCTCAAAGGCAGGTGAAGCTGGCTTTCCCTCCTGGCTTGACTTCCCGGTTGGAGGGCGCCGCTGGCCTCACCTAGAATAGGGGAAAGTTTTCATCCTTTTGTTTGAAAGCTAGTAGGGGTGACGAGGACCGGGCCAGCACACGCTGGCAGGTGAGTGGCTGAATGAGGTGAGGGGAAGGCTTAGACTCACGACCCTTTGATCTCTGAAAGTAAGATCACCTGGAGAAAACCCTGGACATCATTAGCCCACCCCCCACCCCCGCACTTGATAATTGAGGAAAATAAGGTCAGACTAGGGGAGAGAGTAGCCTCAGGCGGCACATCAGGCCAGGGGCATGCGTCTGCACCTTCCCAGTTTTCAACCCTCCTTTGGGTGCGCGGGGCCCCAGGACTTCGCCCAGCACTCGCGGAAACATCTTGCCACTTCGCTGCGCCCCGCTACCCCATCACTACCCCATTAAGGCAACAATTTAGGAATGGGGTGAGGTTTTCTCTCCATCTGGATAATTATATTCTCATTAGGAGCTGATCCTCCCGGGCTGTCAGCATTAGCGCTCCAGCGCAGCTTGGAGGGCGCGCTCCCAGCTCAAACCACCGAAGCGCGGGCGAGGAAGCCCGCGAACCAGGGGCCGGCGCGGGACAGGCGCTGCGGGGCAGACAGCACAGACCACAGTGACCCGGTTCCTCGCCAGGGATCCAAGCGCTGGTCCGGTATTACCCAGAAGTGCAAGGCGTAGCCTGGAAAACCGGGGCCTGGAAGTCAGGTCTGGGATCCGTGGGTCCTGCGAACGTCCCGACTTGCCCCCACTCTCACCTCCGATAAGACCCCTAACACAGCCTCTGCCCTCAGAGAACTGGGGAGAGGAGGCCGTGTGGCAAGAGACCACACTCTAAAGAGGGAGGCCAGGAAGAGGTAACCACTCCATCTATCTGGGGTGAGGAAGGCTTCCTGGAGGAAGTGGTGACATTTACTATGGAGGCAGAAGATGGGGAAGTAACCAAAGTGACCTAGGCAGGGGAGGAGTCTTTCAGACTGCTGGTGAGGTGGAATGGGGGTGGTGTGGTCCTGGTACCCCTACAGGCTCTACTCTAGTCGGGTTAGAGATGGAAGCAGAGGGCAGGGCCCAATCTAGAAGGGCCTAGACCAGTGGTTCTCAACCTGTGGGCCGCGACCCCTTTGGGGGT